ATTATGCATATTGGATATTAATGACTCATTTTAATGGTGGTGAATGCCTGATGTAGACCATCTTAGATGTATGATTGTCATGGGGAAGAACTAAAGAACTTTCAAAAGGTTGACCTGGCTTTGAAGTCAAAATGTATTGTTAGATGCACAATATAATGTACAAAAACTTAGTTCTTAATATCTTGAAGGATCCTTGAAAGATTAGAAAAATCAATGGAAGATGAATCTATCAACAACTATTAAATATGGTGAATAAGTATAAACTTATGGTGGCTAAATTGAATCTTCATGTTTGGAGTAAATATTCCTCTAAATACCACATGGTGCGGTCAAGTAGAAGGAGAATGTCTCATTATACATTATCTGCAGAAACAGTTGGAGAATATGGCAAAAACAGAATACTGATTTAGAAGAACCATTGGTTTGATCCAGCAATTCATATGTTTTTGTGGGAATGAACCATAATGGAATGTATTTAAGGAAGGTGTTGTTTCATTGTAGTTAGGACTTCAAATTCAGTATAGTGGTCAAGATCTTACATCACATGTGTTCCACCTGACATGGTTATATCTTCTCTCCCAACTTATTGCAGAGAATCCTGGGGTGTTCAAGAAAACAAATAAACTACTATTTTCCCCTCAAAGCCAAAATTATTGAATTGAGGCTGTCATACTTTGACCACATTATGATAAGGTATGACTCACTAGAAAATAATAATGATAATAATACTTGAGCCTGCAAGACCTCAGCAGAGCTGTTGAGAATAGGCTGTCGTAGAGATGTCTCATTCATATGGTTGCCATAGGTCTAGGTCAATGTGAATGCAGCTAACAACAAATAATCAGAATAGATCTTTAAAAAAATAAATAAGTATTTGGTCATTGGTTTCCGTAGGTCTTCGGTAAAGATGACGCAGGTCTAGCTCTATATTGTTTCCCAATAAAAGCCATCAGAATTATATATATTTTTAAAAAAGAACTTACCATTCATGTGCAAGAAATATTCATGTGAGAACTCTGAAAGATACTGCATTTAATCAAGTATAAGGTCTGGTTTTTTTCTTGTTTAAGGAGCTTCAAAGATTCCAAAAGGGTTCCTCCTTTTCCTTTCTTTCTTCCTTCTCCCCACCTTACTCTTTTTATTATAAGCCTGTATGGAAACCTATAATAAAATTATTACAAAAAAAAAAAGATTTGCTGGCATAGTAGATTCCCAGTGTTTGCTGTGTGTGTGTGTGTGTGCCATCTTACCTCTGAGACAGGGGCCCAGTTCTAAGGACTCTGTCACAATTTTGTCCTCAACCTAGGCCAGATGGCTGTTTAGTGTTTCAGCTTTCACACATGGCCTGTTTAACATAAGCACTATAACTGACTCCCATGACACAACTGTCTACTTTATCTTCTGAGCAAATGAATTAGCAAAATGTGCTAAGAATAAATTTTAAATTTATCCCATGCTGAAATTGATCTGACCACAAATCTGAAAACTCAGATCTATAATAAAGTTTTGAGCACATTCTGGCTGAAAATCTATATTGCAGAGAGTAGTATAAAAGTTTCTCTTCTTTAAACTCCCTGATACACAATGTAGCTGCTGACAAAAGAGTATCTCAATATTTTGCTGCTCTCTGCATCAAGAGAAAATATGGTCCCATGCTTTAAAAGTGTGAGGACAGTAACAGATATTGGTTAGTGAGGATGGGGAGTAGAAGAAGAATCTACGAGAGTTCGCCCATAGGCACTAGGTTTTCTTGTGTTTGCCCTTCATAATAGATCATTTGGCTTGTGGTATTCCTTTTTATCCAAATATAAACACTCTGAAATTTGGGTTATCAAAATAATATAGTAGCAAATAACAAATTATGGGTTTCCAATAAACATAAAGTTAAACACAAAGCTTCTGAAATGCAATTCCAAATTGAACATATTGCTGAAAGTCAGAATTGAAGCAGAACCCAAACTTATAGCTGCTCCAGCTTCCTGGATAGTGTCATCAAGTTTTGTAATAAAATGCAGAGGAAATTCACTGTACCCTGACATAGGACCCTTAAGCTGCTGTGGAGGAGATGAGAATGCCTGAATCGAAAGACCACCTTGGTGGCTGAAATGAACATTTTGTCTAAAAACATACTATGCAGTCTTTTTTCCTAAAATAGGTCAAAATTATTGACAGGGTTAATCATCATTGCAAAAATATCCTTATATTTCAGTTTTTAAACAAGAAAAAATACCCCATATAATAACAACACGAGAAGGTTTACTAATTGTTCATGATTTTTTTCTCTTCCTCTGGGAATAGACTCAGAGTGTGTGTGAGAGAGACAAATTTATGTAAAATTCCATTTATTCTAATGATTTTACCAGAAGTAGTTAGCAGCACATCTGCTGGTAAATATAAAATTGACACCACATCTGTCCAACACATTGGAGGGTAAATTTAGAAGAAAAGATAAAACCCAGGTCTTAACTGCATTAATGTTATTCACATTAAGGCTGTGAAGTAGCATTTAAAATTTACAGCACACTAACCAACTGTAAGTGTGAATTTATAAAGGGTTTTCGAATTTCATTATTATATTATCATACTGTATCTGTCCAAAGAAGTCACTGTTCCTTACCACTGGTATCAATTTCATTTGAGAACAGGATATTTTGACAATGATATCCTATATTGCCAAAATAGTTAAAGCAGATTATTGCCTTCTGGCCCAACCTCATATAACTTATTTATTTATTTATTTCATACATTTATACCCGCCCTTCTCCCCACAAGGGGACCCAGGGCAGCCTCACATAAGCATCAGATGATGCTAACAACATATACACCATAAGAATTACAATTAAAACAGTTCAAGCATTTTGAGTAGCTTCTTTTAATGTAGGATAGGAGGAGGGGGCATTTACAATCTTGGCAATGGTCATAAATATGTGAATAAATTAATATGAAGCTGTTACAGATCTGTAGCTCTAGGTTATGATTCCACATAAAACTGTAATGAAGGAAGACAGCGTGTTTTCTTTTCAGACTTTCAAACAAATACATAATATCAAATAGAATAAAAAATCTAGAAAGGACCACAAGGACCACCTAGTCCAACTCCATCCATGGCTATGGCTGATTTCTCTGGTTGGAGTAGTCTGCAGTGCCTTTCATGTTCCTGGATTCTTGTTTGAGCGCTGCGTTTGGTGGTCATAGCAGAGCACCTGATGAACCAACCTGGACACAGCATTTTATTTGAGAAAACAAAAATGCTGGACCACTCTCACAACCACCATGTCAGGCTACACAGAGAAGCCATTGAAATCCACAAACATGTGGATAATTTCAACAGAAAGGAAGAAACCATGAAAATGAACAAAATCTGGCTACCAGTATTAAAAAATTCTAAAATTGCAACAGCAAAAACAGCAGAGAGAAAAACAGGCAGGAACATCTAATCACCCTTCAAGAAGAGTTTGCTCCAGGCACAGTCAGCCCATTGTATGCTAATCAAGTGGTCAGTTGGAAGATTCACACCTAGCCCAACTTACAAAAGCCCTTTGTCTCACCCTGATCATCCCACAGATATATAAACCCCTTTTTTCCCAGCTCCAGCAGACCTCACCTCTGAGGAAGCTTGCCATAGATGCAGGCGAAACGTCAGGAGAAATGCCTCTAGAACATGGCCATATAGCCCGAAAAAACCCACAAGAACTGAGGGATACTAAAGTATATTTTGGTGTGCTGATGACACCCATTTTCTATGCCTTCAAAAACAGCCTCAGCTAAGGATAATGTATCTCTTCTGAATGAATGCTTAGAGGAGGTAAAGGGCTGGATGAGGAAAAACAAAATGAAACTGAATCCAGGAAAGACAGTAGTCTTGCCATTGAGAGTCCTAACCTAGAGATGAAGGTGTTCTGGTTACACTTCCCCTGAAAGACTGTGTTTGCAGCTTGGGAGTGTTCCTGGGTCAGTCTCTCCAAATGTCATCCCACATCAGGAGTGGTTACTACCAGCTTCGCTGATATGCCAGCTGTGCGCTTTCCTAGATTTAGAGGATCTAAAGATGGTAAGTACACACACTGGTAATCTCAAATTTGAACTTCTGCAATGTGCTTTACAGTGGACTACTGTTGTACCAAATTTGGAAACTTGAGTTGGTTCAAAATACAGTAGCCAGATTTAAAAAAAAAACTCTAAAATTACTACAGCAAAACAGCAGAGAGGAAACAACCAGGCACATCTTAACACCTCTCAACAGAACATTTTCCCAGGCTCAGCCAAGCCTTCAAATGCTAATGAAGGTGATCAGCTGAAACATTCACACCTAGCTTCAGCAGAGAGCTCTTTGCCCCACCCCAGTCATTCCACAGATATATAAACCCATTTTCCTATTTCCAACAGACCTCACTACCTCTGAGGATGCTTGCCATAGATGCAGGCGAAACGTCAGGAGAAATGCCTCTGGAACATGGCCCTATAGCCCGAAAAAACCTACAAGAACCTAGTGATTCCAGCCATGAAAGCCTTCGACAATACATTTTCACTATTTATGTTTGGGATTTCACCTTCAACAAGACACAGACAAACATCTCAGCTCTTGTTGTCCTTGAGTTTTATTCCATCCAATCTAATAGTGTTTTGGCAAATCCTGATAATTAGTTTAGGTTTGAAATGCAGAGGTCTTTCACTGTTTTGATATAACCAGAAGACAAATCGTTTTTGTATTAATTATGGCTCTTGATAAGAGAGAGAAATAAATTGTATAAAGGCAGTCATTGCTTCCCTGAAATGAGATGTACTTCTTTAGTTTAAGAAAATAGCACCAGTCTCATGTGATATTTTTAGAATTTTCACCAAAGCGTAAAAAAATAATAATTCAGTGGCAAATTTTAAGAAAGACTCTTTCAAGAGATTGTGGTTAAAGGTTCTGTTCCTTTTCTTGCGCATATAATATATGTATGCAATCCAAAACCTAAGCAGATATCCAAATCAAGACATATACTCATACAATAATATGCATATATAATATTTAATGATTGTAGAAAAGAAATTAACAGTTGATTTGCTAAGTATGTAACTACAGAAAACAACATATATAATAAAGACAGAGAATTGAAAATTGGAAGGCCGCTTATAAATGTAAGTTATAATGTAACTTTCATTCCTAAACTTAGTTAAGGCCTGATTAGATGGTGCTTTGATCTGAGTTACACCTCAATAGAAATTATTTTCCTGCTATTGATTTATTTTTCAACCAGCTATAATAGTACCATCTGACAAAATGACATATGTAACTTGGATTTGTGTTACTTTTCTTTGCTTACTTTTCATTCTCTCAAAATGTCTTCAACATTTATATTTATGAGCTGAATGTGTAAGCCTAAGAAACATCATACTGCCATAACTCAATACACTCTAGAGTGCCAAGGCATACATGGAGCCAAGTATATAAACAGGGATAGCTCCATTAACTTCATTGTCAGAGAACACTTCATTGATGTAGCCTCTCTAAAGCTGGAAGGATGAAATGATCTTATTCAACAGAGATTTTATAATAATAGAAAGCAAAAATAGCTGGTTTTATTAATTAGTTTTTACATGAGCCTTAAAAAGGCTAAAAAAACTAATGTGATTATAACCTATCTACTATAATGAAGTGTTTTTTATAAAGCTTGGTGGGTGCAGACCTACATATTCTAAAGGCATCAGATCCCGTCTGATCTTTAAAATTAAGCAGGGTAAGCCCTTGTCGATACTTGAATGGTAGATCACTAATGAATAACAGTTGCCATAGGCTATATTTCAGAGGACTGGACTGATGAAACTATCTCTGAGAAATCCTTGCCTAAGAAAACCCTAGTAAATTCATGGGATTGCCATAAGTCAATAGGCAATGTGAAGGCACACACAAAGATATTAAGATGAAAAGTCTGTTCACATAAACAAATGCTTTAATGTTACTTTACATCAAAGCTTTTTTTAGATCAGTGGTTCCCAACTTTTTTTTTAACCAGGAATCACTTGAACAGGAACCACTTTTACCAGGGACCAATCTCTGACATTAGTACCAAAAGGGTTATGAATCAATTTTTGGTCAACTCTAGATTGGTTACAGTGGGGTGCTGATTCAGAAAATTGCATTGGATAGACCACATCAGCTCTAATTTCTGATACAGAACATATGTTATCCAGTAGTCACCATCTGCTCGTCCATAGAAACCCATATTTAATAATCTAGAGCTGATGTTGTCTGAATCAGCACCCCAAATAACCCCAGGAACAGGCCTAAAAATGAAGACACCAAGGTGCCCCCACTTCCAGATGCCACATAGAACGGCTCCACTCAGGGAGAGGGAGGAGGTGGAGAATCAGGAATCAGGATGCTTGTGTGGTTCCTTTCGTGGGTAGTCAGCCTCTCCCCTCCCGACATCCCCGTTGCCTCAACACTATAAGAGGGTTTCGAGAGACCAGTTACTCTAGTTGCAATAGTGTAGTAATGGTGAGACCCCGGACCATATTTTAGTTCTTGTGGACCACTGGTGGCCCATGGACCATAGGTTCGGAACCACTGTTTTAGATAGTGACAATCCTGACCAATGAAATAATGAGTGCAGAAGGCCTTTCCTTTTATCCCAGGGTAGGCAATTGCAATAGAGACCGAAGTTCATCACCAATGAGAGAGGCTGAAGTATTTCTAAAAACCAAACATAGAAGTGTCCAGGAGTCATTTAAAGCTTTCAGCATGATCAAGACACCCCATTTGTGCTCATTTCACATAAACAAATCCTTATGTTAGTTTCCAAATGAACAATGATTCAAACTATTGGTTCTCATTCTGAGTTATATAAAATTGTTTATTTGAATATCATTATTTATTTATTTATCTCTGCTTTGTTTCATGTTTTCCTATGCTAGTAAACTGCCAATATCAGCAAGTGTTTTAACTTTATTTTACAATGATGTGCAGAACATTGCCAAATGGTGAATTAATGCTAGTCCTGCCTTTTGGACCTGTTTTATTCAAGAAGTGAAGGCAAGTGATGCAGGTTAGTTATATTCCTGATGGTTTCCAAGAAACCTTTGCACACTTTGTTCTCTAGACTTTACATCTGGATCTGGCTACACATGATCTATGCAGAGCTAACCAGCAGGTTGCTCAAACAGAAACACTGTCAAGCACAATATTTTTTATGAAGCAGTTTTACAATTAATATGTTGTTTGACTTTATAGCTGCCCTTCTAGAATTTGTTGTTAGAGGATACTGAAGGGATAGAACAAACAAATCTTCCATTCAGCCTCTGCCTACATATTCTTGTAGCCCATTTCTTCTCCATTTGGACAAAAGCACATCGCTGCTCAGTGGTCCTGTGAGGTCTTGCCTTTCCATGTTTGAAGTGATGGAAGGTAACTGGACGGTTATTACTCCACACCCAGCTCCCCATTTTATCTTCTTTCAATCCTAAAATTGGAGACATTGGAATTATGAAACTATTGTGTACAGCAGTGCTACAAAATGATGACAGGAGCTACATTACGGTCTTTGGAATCTTAAATAAAGCAATTCATAAGACAGATTCCCCCATTTTTATTTATCATGTCAGGAGCAACCAGACATCCCCCATGATCTCATAAGGACATTATTCATGAGTAAAATGTAAAGGGTCAGCCTGTTCTAGTAAACCCATGCTTCAATGATTAATCATTTCAAGCTGGGAAAGGAAAAAAAACATAAGCATACACCTTATGTTGATAGAGTTGTTGATTCAATAGCAGTTTTTAAGGGTTTCAGTCAACTGCCCTGACAAATATTTCTTGCCTGAAACATTGGGCACCTATTGCCAATCAGAGAAGAACATTTTCTTGGGGAAAGCATCGCCAGCTCTATGACAGGGGACTAGTATGGTATTTCCCTTGATGGGCGAAGGTCCAGCCTTATATTTGTGTTATCTGACTACATTTGTTGTCTTCTTTATAGTAAACACAGTGTACACTAGCAGAAAATAGTTGGTAGACTTACATAGACTACCCTTTTGAGTAATGTTGCTTGAGGCTACATTGAACATTGGTCAGATTTACTGTAAATACATATTTGATTGACATGAGTAAGAAGGATAGTTTTACATGTCATCATCAATTCATTTCAACTTACTGAAATACTGAATCTTTGGGGAAATCCTATACACATGCATTTGGGTAAAAATCCAACTGATATGGAGTTGATATCATACGTATAAGCTTGACCTTCAGAGAAACTGGACAGCTACCAAAATTGAAAGGCAATTAAGTGAAAGGCTATAGTACAGTATAGGCAGTTAAGTGAAAGGTTATAGTATAATATAGGCCACACTGAGTCCCCCTAGTGGGGAGAAGGGTGGGATATAAATATATGAAATAAATACAGGGGAGGAAATATTTTATTATTTCTGGTATCTAAACACCACCAACCTAAACCAAGGATCACAAAAAAAGACCCAGAGACTAAGATGGTTCGTTTTTTGGACCACAACTGGGAATTACCCAAAGTAATGTTACCACAATCTCTGTAATTCAGGTATTTGTAATGATCTACAGCAACACACTACAAAGGGTCAAATGTACATGTAGCACTACTCTTTTTGCCAGGTGAAAAATGAAGTTACACATATTTATTCTTTAATTGCTTTTAGTATCAGCAAATGCATCCTAAAGAATGTGCAGGACTATACTGAAAAACATCTACTTACCAATCCAAAATGACTGCTTATTGGCAAAGTTCCAGAGCCATGCCATCTCCTTTGGGGAATGCACACTGGCTAGGTGACCATTGGACCTGTGTGCCAGACAAGAAAGTATGACAATGAAAGTCAGCCAAAAAACTTTTAAAAAATGGTAAACAACATCTTTGAAAAGTGGGTTTATTCATTAAATGGAAACATTGGCTCATTTAAAAAATCCAAAATATTCTTAGGTTAGGAAAAAAAAAACATAGCTGGGAAGTTACTTTGATGTGAGAGGATTGTGTAGTAGTATGAGTTTTGGTTGGGGTTTTATATGTGTATGTGTTTTACTTATTGTATTTTATACTGTGCTTATTTTATGTTCTGTTTTTAGTCACCTTGTACCATGTGTAAGCCCCGAATCCCTTCAGGGAGGTAGTGGTGGGATGTCGACGAACAATGATTTTATGATGACGACTGACCATTGTAATTATTTGACTGTATTTTGCTTTTTAATGTTTTAGTAATTTGGAATACGATGTTTTTAATGATTGTTTGTAATATTGATGTTGGAAACCGGCCTGAGTCCCTCAATGGAGGTGAGAAGACCAGTATACAAAACCGCTAAATAAATAAATAAATAAATCAATAAATCAATAAATCAATAAGAATAAAATTGTTGTTGTTGATATACGAATGTAACACTAGGGCTCTGGCAGAGCGATGACTCAGTCATTGAAACACACAGAGTGACTTGGACAAGTCACACATTCACAATCTCAGAAGAAGCTGTTAAAACCTCACTCTGCACAAATCTTGTAAAAATATGAGACATTCATCATAAGATGACTATACATCAGAAATGACTTGAAGACACATAACATCAAGAAATTCATTTTTCCTACCCTGGCTATTGCATAGATATGGGGTGCATTTTCTACAAAATAGGATTTTTCGGGATGTTCATAATGACAGGTGGCAATCAAAGTATATTACAAATGATATGTGGCTTCCAATTATTCTTTTGACTGCACATCCCATCACTCTTAACTTTGATGAAAGCTGTAGTTCACCAGTACAGAACCATTATAATTGAAATGACAATTGAAATACATAGGACATTTCCTTATACTTGTTTATACTGTTACTTCCCTGTTGCTGTTTACTCTGCTTGGAGGAAGTTCTCCAGCCAATACAGAAATCAGCTCCATCACCTGATTAAGATGATTAAATCTGGGTCCACTTGCATTCAAAGCATGTGATTAATCACTAACTCTTTCTTCAGCCTCTTTCATTTTATCACACTTGTGTTGCACAACCTCTAGAATTAAAAGTTTGATGTGCCACAAAACAGAAAATAATAGAACCTATGTACTATTCTGCTGCTAATACTTCTGATCTTTCCATGAATATCTATTATAGCACTCTTACACTTTTGAGATGTTATAGAAAATTAAATAAATATAGGTATCTTATTAGCAATACATGTAGATGTTAACATTTTCAGATTATTTATTTTATAATAAAGGGGTGTAGGTTTTAGATGTATGACTGTGGAATGGGATTTATATATTTAGAATGACATTTCCAATCCCATTTTTATTTCTGTATTACGAAAGGAAATATATTCATTTATCTTAGCCTCCTTGAAGACCAGATATATCTCTATATGGCTTTTTAAAATAATGACTCTTATGTGCAAGATGTAATATTCAATCGGTTCTCACTTTTGTAGCAATCACTTGAAGGAATCCTCCCTATGTTTTGCATATAGAATAACATTAATTCTGAAGGCTATAGAAAATAAAATGTATTCTATAAAATATAATATACAGTACATTATGTAAGTTGTCTCGATTTTTTTCTAGCCTCTGTGCTTTTCTATATCCATTTGAAAATTCATTTCTATCAGTGAATACTTAGGAAGGTAATATGGTTAACTTTATTGTCTGTCATCTCAAAAAAGATACAATTATCAGTGCATGCAATTGTTACACAAGATGACACACAGATCCAAATGTAATTATTTAGGTTAATGCCATTCTATAAAGAGCTTTTCTACACAGACATACAAAATCAAGAAATAAACCTTTCAGAAGTGACTGGTTTGCATATTTCTGGCTACTGATAATCATGGCAAGTAAACTACTTTATTTGCACAAGTCCTGATCCATAAAAACAGTGAACATAGAAACAGGCTTACAACTTAGGAATATATCTTAACTGAAATTAGTTTCCACTGAGTTCAGTGGAATTTAAGTCATGCCTAATTTGACAGAATGAAAGCAAATACCAAATTCTACATTTGACTAACCTAGCGCACCTCTACACCGACACTATAATTCAGCATAGAACTGATTTGGGAGAAAGTAGTGTTGCTGTGGGAATTACTACATTGCATTGCCCAGAACAGGTTTGAGGCCAGGAAGGTGACTACATTAACCACAGAACCTGGCCTAAAACTGCTTTGTAGGTCTCCCCTATTTCCCAGAGAGACACACATCAGTACGCCAGTGGCATATGGGATTTTATAAAAGGGGAAGTGATAGTTGAAAGTAGATATGATCACTTATCCTTCCCAAGGGTTTGATTATCCCCCTTCTGCTCAGTTATGTATGTGCTCATGGTGTTTTTTGGCAGCCTCCATTCATGATTCTTTACTGCATGGCAGCAAGGGCAGTTATTTACAATGCGCTCAATTTAGAAACGTCAATTTTGCAGAGCTGATTTCACCTTGGATATGAGATACACTGGCATCTGCTGTAGCATCTTTTGCCCTGAAAGCAAACTTTTCCAATACTTTGTTAATGCATTATATACCCTTAGATGTGAACTACAGCACATATTGTGGGTATGCATTTTCTGGCCACTGTGGTCTCAAGTCAGCTTTGAACTGCATTATATGGTCAGTACAGAGGGGGCCCTAGGCTAGATCAAGCAGTAATGCCATGGGCCTGCATCTGCAAGACATGAACAGAGCTGTTTACGACAGAGAAACTTTGAGGTCTTTTATTCATGCAGTCATCATAAGTTCAAGTTGGCTTTATAGTAGTTAAGAACAACAAACAATCTAAATCTTGCCCATGAAATTGTCTCTAGCTGTCACTGTTCTGAATCACCTAGACTAGTGGTTCTCAGACTGTCTTAGATGGAGGATCAATAATTAGGTTTTTTCTTCCCAGAATTATAGGGAATTATACTATATTTACTCCAGTGGCTAAAATAGTTCTTTCTTTCCTAGAAACTCACCAGAAACCAGCAGCCAATGACTCAGGAAAGAGCTTTTGTCTATGGTCCACCACTTTGAATAGCAGTGATCTATGGTATGTAGATAGCCTCTCATATAAACAGGTTAGCCTGTTTCCTGGTGTAAAAGCCTCTTCTTAGGTTCAGTGATGTTTATACTAAGAAAGGATAGATCAGTTTGTACATTTTTTGTGTCAGTTTTGCTTCTGTTCATCTGCAAGTTGATTTAGTCCTATTGGCACAATAATCTCTAATATTTGAGATAGTGAGAAATATGCACAAAAACTTGTATGTGATTCATATGTGTTTTACTACTACTATTATTTTACATATTATCATGCAATACTATTTTATCACTTTTGTGGGGGAGGGGTTTAAAGCACACACCACAACACTCAAATAAACACCCTTAGTCCACACATTATTTTGGGAAGTGCACATTAGGTTAGTTTGCTTCCAAATACAGATTCTAAAAATTATCCTCAACTGTCTCCAATTTCTATATTTTATGCCTAACAAAGAACAGTTAACACTTAATTTTTCATTTTCTCCTTCATAAAACTGTGTTAGCGTATCCCTGAACAATTAAGCCAATACCTCTGCTGCACTATAAATATATTTAATTTGATCTGCCTTTAAAAACTTTTTTTTCAAAAAAAGATTCTTTTAAACAGAAGAGAGTACAGTAATGTAGTGTTGTTATTTATTTTAATAAAAACCCACATCCTTTCTCCCTTTCCTGTTTGAATCTAATAAAAACAGTTAAAGCTGCACGGATATTTAATGTTATGAGAAAGACTTGAATTAAATAAAAACATAAAGGAAGAGCTTTGCAGTTCTGGCAAGATATTCTAAGCAGAATACTAACTCAGAAATACATAGTTTCAAACCTTCTTTTGCTTCCAATTCTGTCCAGGCAACACATTTGCCAACACATTTTGTTTCCGTTTAAGTGAGACTATTTTCATTACAATCCACGGAGGCTTTTGATGCGAGGTCAGCACAACTTCACACTAGAGGAGGGAGTTTATTAACACATATGACTAAATCATTCCGTTGTTGTCTACTTCAGTTTCCAATTTGTCAGCACCAAGCATAAAACTAGAGACCATAAACACTTGCAGGAATTTTAACCAGTTTGAGGGAACATTCGGATGCTTCGCATAAGGCAAAAGATTCATCTCTTCAAGAAATAAGTGTTTAGTTTGTTTTACTTTTTAAAAATCAATTTAAAGGGGATAAGATAGCCTTTCCACAGACTTCAGTAATTCACCAATTTGGTCTGCAGGCTAGTATGCTGTAATTTATTTCCTATAGCACTTCCAGAGAGCCAGCATGGTGTAGTGGTGTGAATACTAAATTAAGTTCGAATCCCTGCTCAGCCATGGAAACCTAACTTGGGCAAGATTGGACTATTGCAATGCTCTCTACATGGGGCTGCCCTTGAAGACAGCCCGGAAACTCCAACTGGTCCAACGGGCGGCAGCCAAACTGTTAACGAGCGAATTACAGAGAGCGGTCAACCCTCCTGTTTAAGGAGCTCCACTGGCTGCCGTTTATCTACCAGGCCCAATTCAAGGTGCAGGTCTTGACCTACAAAGCCCTGAACGATTTGGGACCTTCCTACCTGTGCGACAGTATTTCCATCTACGAACCCACGCAATCCCTTTGATCCTCTGGAGAGGCCCTTCTTTCGCTCCTGCTCGCATCGCAGGTGCGACTTGCAGGGATGAGAGAGAGGGCCTTCTCTGTGGTCCCCCCCCCCCCCGGCTCTGGAACTTACTCCCCAGAGACATTAGACAAGCCCCCACACTAGCAATCTTCAGGAGGAATTTGAAAACCTGGTTATTCCAATGTGCCTTCAGTGATTGAATGTAAGATTCTCCCTGACCACACTTTGCACAAAATGTCCTTAGACGCACTTTATTTTATGGGTTGTGCATTGAAATCCTTCCTCATTCTTGGAGCCACCTCCTTATAAGTTACACTGTCCTATCTCCCAGTGCTTTTAATTTTTTTTTATAATTTTATCAATGCATCTGGCCCTGCCTAGTGAAATTCCCTGTGTTTTTAATGTTTGATTTTATATTGTTGTGTTGTATATTATTTTGATTTTGCATTTTATGTATTTTGCTCATTTTATTGTATTTTGTGTTATATTGCTTGTATTGTATCGATGGGTGTGGCCTCATGTAAGCCGCACCAAATCCCCCTGGGGGAGATGGAGTGGGGTATAAATAAAGTATTATTATTATTATTATTATTATTATTATTATTATTATTATTAAGAAGCTCCTTTTAACAAAATATTTCTACACATGACAAATTTTCCATTTCTCCTTGCCCACTATCTAGCAAGAGGTATTTTTTAGCGTTACTGACTTTGGGGAACGGCAAAGAAGGGCTATTAAAATACAGCTTTTCAGTCCCAATTTGAGCTGAGAAAGAATTGTAATCTTGCTCTAGGCCAGGGCTTCTTAATTTTATTACCCTGAATATATAGGTGCATTAAAAAAGTATGAAAATTGAACATTTACTGATAACAAATCAGCATTTGCAAGGCTTGCTAAACAGGCTGATTTTCCTTTTTATGAAGTACAACTGAAGCATCTTCTGCAGTATCCACTGTAAACACTGCACAACAGATTTATGTACATGTCTAAAACAATGACTAGGTGATGTTCAGAAAAAATTTCAGGACTCCAACATTGACCTAAGGGACCCACAATTTAAGAAAAAGTGCTGTAGTCCATCCTACTGATACAGTGTGTTTCTACTACAGCAGACAAGGTAAATTCACACTATATTAAGAACATACTACTGATCAAGAATAAATGGAGCTACCCTCATCATTTTAAAACTATATACTTGGCCACCAAAATTGAAATCAGAATGGAAAATGAAGAATGGTCAAAGAAAAAATCTTCCTTGGGGAAAAAAATTTAGGAGATCCCTAGAAGGTTCCAAATGTTTTTGTTTACTTGTGCAAGGCTTCCCTGATCTGCTTCCTTAATTTCTTATACAGTAGAACTCTCAGTTAATCAGCACCCATGGGGACTGGTAAATGCCAGATAAATGTAGCTTCTGGTTACTTGACAGTCACTATTAAAAGTAGGTCTAATACTATACCTCATATTATACCATGCCATAAACTCTTTATTGAATGAATATTAAAAGTAAAGTAATTAAAAGCAAACAAACGTAACATAATTTAACAGTCTTACTGTTTTACTGTATCATAAAATCAGCTTTTTAAATTTAAAGTACGATTAGTTAATTAATTTTTTTTGCCTGTTGCTTGACTGCGCCGATTGCTTGAGTTCCAGTTATCTGAAAGTCTACTGTATTATCAATATTGGATTTTGTGTGTGTGTCAGGAGTGATTTGAGAAACTGCAAGTCGCTTCTGGTGTGAGAGAATTTTCTGTCTGCTAGGACGTTGCCCAGGGGACATCCGGATGTTTTATCATCCCGTGGGAGGCTTCTCTAATGTACCTGCATGGGAAGCTGGAGCTGACAGAAGAAACCTCACCCCACTACCTGAATTTGAACTGCTGACCTTTTGGTCAGCAGTCCTGCCGGCACAAGGGTTTAACCAATTGCACCACTAAGGGTTCAAGTATTGGATAAGAGGTCTGCTGAAACATGTTAATTGTTTTTGTCTTTTGTGGAGTGTAGGAACATATCCATATTATTTCCATGTTCTTGCTGCCTCTGTATAAAATTTTATTTCAAAGAAGCAATTCCCAGGAACATATTAACTTTGTTAATTGAGGTATAACGGTAAAGGTTTCCCCTGACATTAAGACTACTCAAGTCTGACTCTGGGGGGTGGTGCTCATCTCCATTTCTAAGCCAAAGAGCCAGTGTTGTCCGTAGACACCTCCTAGGTCATGTGGCCAGCATTACTGTATGGAGAGCTGTTACTTTCCCGTCAAAGCGGTACCTATTGATCCACTCACATTTGCATATTTTCGAACTGCTAGGTTGGCAGAAACTGGGTCTAAGAGTGGGAGCTCACCCTGCTCACCGGATTTGAACCACCGACCTTTCAGTCAGCAAGTTCAGCAGCTCAGTACTGTATTAAAAGTGAGGGACAACCTACAGTCAAATATTTGTAGCCTTCCCATACCATTTTCCGCAGGCTCTTTCAGCACTCTCCCATGTTGCATTACTAGCTGAACTCAAAATGTAGCAATACTTGTCTCTGAGTGTCCATCTGGAAGGGCATTTCCTGGATTTAGTTCTCTATGGAAGAAATACATATAAATATATATATATATATATAAACAAAACAAGATCATGCATCTCTTATTAACATCCTGTTTTTTTCTCCACAACAACACATCATCGTTGCTAACAAAATAAGATAAGGAGTATAAACTAACCAAATGGTTTCCCTAATTATGCTTCTCATGTGATATGTTTCTTGAGATAAAGGTCTAGAACATGAAACATGATACAAGGAAAGTTAACCTGCAAATTGTCAGCATGGCTATTTAATTTCTCATAGCCAAATATTTGTCTGGAGTTAATAGAAGAGATGGCAACAGCTATGATGCATTCCATATCAAGTTCTCAACTATTTTAACCATCCCTAGACTTTGTTTGTGAATGAAGAAAAACTAGCGTCAGAACTGCTTAAAAAGTCTGTTCCTTGGAAACAAGACAGCATGTTTTATTCACAGACAGTTAATGGCCCAATCACATTTATTTATTTCATATCCTGCCTTTCTCCTAATACAGGACCCAAGATACAAAATAAAACAAAACAGAAAAGAGCTAAGCTCAATCATAATATGATTTTTAAAGAATTGTGCTATTATAGTTAAATTACATAATTACATTTAAGAAACAGAAAACATAAATGCAAAACAGGACGAGCTTTAAAAACAATTCAAAACAATAAAACATGACAAATGAGAAAAGTGCCATCATTTTCATTTAAAAAAACATCTTGCACATAAAACCAGAGCCAAAATTTATTTAAATAAGGTATTTGCTAATTGACAGAAGCATGTCAATTAGCAAATACCTTGCTAATTGTGGGGTTGAGGCTCCTTCTTTGGAGGCTTTTAAACAGAGGCTGGATGTCTAGAGAAGAGTGACCAAAATCATCAAAGATTTGGAAGCCAAGGCCTGTGAGGAGTGGCTTAGAGAGTGGAATATGTTTTGCTAAGTATGGAGTCTGAGGGAGGACATGATAGCCATATATAAATATTTGAAAGGATATTTCATTGAGGAAGGGGTAGCTTGTTTTCTGCTGCTCTAGAGAACTAGGACATGGATTCAAATTGCAGGAAAAAAGATTCCACCTAAACATTAGGAAGATTTCCAATGGTAAAAGATGTTTGGTAGTGGAATATGCTGCCTCAGAGTGTCGTGAATTCTTTTTTTTTTGGGGGGGGGGTAAGCAGAGGATGGATGGCTATCAACTTTAATCATATGCTCCTGCAGGGTAGGGGTTTGGATTGGATGGGCCTTGTGGTCTTTTTCAATGCTATGATTCTATGAGAACTCTACGATTCTATGAGAACCGTACTCTCCTTATCCAGCTCCTGGTGTAGGTCATCTTCCAAGGTGGCAAAACACATCCACAAACAGGCCTGAAGCCAGGTTGAAATAGATCTAGATAATCTGACCACAGAGGCCACCATACATTATAGTATGTCCCCTAGGAATTATGGGTAATTATCAACAATTTTTATTGATTAGCCTGTTGGCCTTATCAAAAACAGACAGTGCAAACACAACATATAACATACGTCTGGTCCTCTTAAAATAGAGTAGGATCGTCTTCCAAGGGGTAATTATCAAATACAGTGGTAACCAAGGAAGGCTTTTTCCTGGGCCTCCTGGCTATTTTCCTATCTTGAAGGACAGAGTTGTATGTGCTATGGAGGACTCCCTCCAGCTAGCCCATTGTCCTCTGGAAGGGAGTCTTCCAAGGCTATCAGCCCAGTCAGTTTTCATATGGAATGCAGGAGTATAATGTTTTGAGCCAGCTAGTATCTAGAGGTAATCACATGCCTCTTTCATCTTGTCTTGTTTGTGGGTATACTTTGTATTCTTCACCACGAATTAATCCACAGAACTCACTAGAACTGTTTCCAAACAAGTATTTGGGATTGCAAATATATGTTATCATCTAAGTTTAAACCCCATTGAATAAGGCAGTAAGGCACTTAATCTTGCCAAATATCATTCAGTCCCCTAATTTTGAGCAGGGCTGTAGCTATAATACTTTGTCATATCTTACCTCTTAGTTATAATAGATTACAGACATTTGGTGATACAGATATTCTGAGGACAGATACGGGGACATTCAATGTTCATTCTTCCTCATGAGATTTTGATCTAATTGTCTAAGTATGGATGAGTGAATTACAGGTTTAAGATTCTCCTTAAACCTTACATTAACTTTGTGAAATGGTGTGAACACAGTTGGACACAATTTTAATAGGCATTTAAAATTTTATGATCAGGATACCAAGACCAAAAGTTTTGATTAAACTCCTTTTTTTGCTATAAACAGCATTACATTTTGATCTTGTTGATGAAAAGGGGGCATGCAAATGTCTCACAAGAGCACAAATTTGGCTACTCAGTGAAGACAAGTTTTTATTATGGAATATCACGTGCAGAAGAAACCTGCCAAGAAACTGATTTCCTAGCAAAAGGGCAAAAGCAATCTTGCTTGGAGAGAGAAAAGATCGGTAGATGTTCACTTGACACAAATGTCAACAGAAATTTCAGATGAACTTGTATAACATCCATCCCTAGGACAAGCTGGAAACAAGCTAGCAAAAATGGCTCTTAGTTGTTCTTCTTGAATACAATGAAATAACTATGTTTGGACATTTTGGTTCACCTTCACAATGCTCAAGAGGACAATATTAGAGGTCGAAAGAAAACCCAGCCTTCTACCTCACAAACAATGAAGTTGCTAGTAAGACATAAGAAACTCTAGCAAAATGTAGTTGTTTGAATGAAATTTAAACACCTGTAAATTGACCTGACACTTTACTGTATGTATGGGCAAATGTGTACGCTTTGTATGTTTTGCATGTTTTGATATGGTCAAAATTGACTAATCAATAAAGAATTGTTGTTGTTGTTGACTTGACACATAATTTTATTTGAATGTAGAAAACCATCATTCTAAATCTTGGCCCAGCCCCAAAGTCTACTAGTGGCCTGAGGCAAGTCACTAACAATGTACTTTAGCAAAGATAAAATGAAATAAGATAGAAGAGAAACTTTCTGCTCTCAAATATATATGGAGAATTATTTTTATCAAGTTTCTGAACAGTAGGATGGGATGTAAAATCTGGGTTTAATCTGATGCTCCAATTTGGGTAATAGTTAAAGTTTTGACTGAATTCTGAATGTTTGATTATTTCCTTCTGGTAGAGGTAATAAAACTCCTGAGGGATACTTTGGGGTACTATTGCCCAGAAACATTATGTTACGGCTATATAGCCTTTATATAATTTTAGACATAGTGCTGTGATTTATAATATATCCTTCATTCTTAAGGATATATGCCCTTGCTTTCCTTGTCATCAGTTACAAAAACCAGCATGTGAATTCTACCTGTTTTGTGTTCGTTTGTAATGGGATTGGTTTATTCTTCACATCTAAATCTTCTTGAGGATGGTCCTGTTGACTTTGTAGGTGAAAAGACAGGCCAGAAAAGGGCTCCCTTGCAGTTGTACGATTTTCAGAATGCAAACTAAAGGATACTTCTTCTCCTGCGGGAGTAGCTCCTTGGTACTAAAAATGATCAAGAAAAACAAATGCCAACAATTGATAATTGTCATATTCACTTCTTCATTGCAATGAATTGAAATGTGCTATGGATAGGGATATGAAGGATAATAAAAACTTAGAAGTAACTGGTTTAATCCTGTTGACATGTCTTCCTTTCCAACACTTCCATCTAGCACTCTCTACCATTTAATGTGTCAGACGCTTGACTGGGAACCCATCTAGGGGAAAGTAGAAAGAGAGATGGGCTGTTGTAATTCAGCGTGTTGGTAGCGTTGCTACTCCTGGTAGCAGGGAGAAAAGGTCTGCTCAGGAGTCGGAGGGAGAACAACAGCGAAAGCGCATTAGGGAAATCATTATGCCCCCAAGTGATACTGACACATTTCAAGGCTTCTCAGATTGCAAAATGGGGGATGGGGAAGAGAGCAGAGCTGTAAAGAGGGCTGCTCATGAGCCGGAGTCCGAAGGGGAATTGCAGAGAAAGCGCATCCGGGAAATACTTAGTGCGCCAACAGAGGATGAGGATTTCCTGGGGTTTGAAAGGAGTTCTGGGTCTGGGAGTGATATGGAAGAGGAGGAATTGGATTGGACCCGTGTTCAACAAATAAGGGACATTTGTAACCAACCCACCTCCAGTGAGGAATTTGAAGGGTTCACTGAGGATTGGCAGCCAGGGACCTCTTGGCAGGATCTAAGTCTTAGCAGACGCTGGCAAAGGTGGAGGAATGGGCCCTCGGATTCAGCTGCAGGGTTGGGGGCAGCTGAGAGCGATGACGAAAGGGTGGGGAGCTCATCAAGCTCTGATGAGGAACTTTGAGATAAAAGTGGGCTCTGTTTGCATGATACTTTGCAGAAGGCAAAGCGTCTTTATTGGAAATAACTCTTTGTACTGCCAATTCTTGAATTTGGATCCTTGGGCTACAGCTTCATGTGTTCCTGAATTCCTGTTCCTCGGTGATTCCTGCGTTTCAGCGTTTGTTTACCAACGGCTTGACCACGGACCAGTTTGACTATCGTTTTTGGCTTTCTGGACTTTAAACTCTTATAACTTTGTGCTTGAACAATTTCTCGTTTTGGGACTTCATTTTTCCATCTTCTGTGACTGTGTTTTTGTGCTGTGTCAACTTTCAAGCGAATTGCTTAACTTTGAGTTTAATCCGGATTATAAGGCAGTGCTATAATCCGGGTTATATTTTTGTTACTGGTATCGCTTTGTTTTTGATGCCAAATTACTACTGGGACTCTTTGCACTGAAGTTAAGTGCTTTGAAAGACTATTTTTGTATAATAAAGCTGTGTTTGAACTCTTATCTTGTGTTTGGCTCTAATTAAGGCTTCTGGGTCCTGACATGGGCTAAGCACTATTATTTACTTCTGAATATATAGACCAGCATTTAAAAAATTGGCTACTGTAAATATTTAGCATAGTCTAAGATTATGTGTCTTGGATGAGGGGTTGTTGGCTCAGTTGTTAAGTGGCTAGGGAGCTTTGGCCAAGTCTCCAAATTACTGTTTATTTTGAAGATGGTTGAAAGCCCATTTCAATCATTTATTAAAGCCACCCCACTACTACTGATATGTGACATTAACTATAGCTGTAACATGGTATAAGTGCTATTATTTTTTAGTCACATCATAAAGTCAGAAGCATTGTCACACCGATTTGGCTCTGCAACACAGTCACTTGATAATTACCTAGTCTCTGATTGGCTGGGATCATGCAAGCAGGAGGTTTGGAGTGAGGTTGAATCAAATAATGAAAATGAGCTGAGCAACAAATATGACGATGGGCACAGGTAGTGAAAAGATATACCAAGAATATTCATTTGCAAATCTTCAGTACATCTATTCCAACCCTTTTCATTTAGGGATACCTTGGATCAATACTGTGCAGTTCCTTGTTCTAGAAATATTTTCTTTGTTTGGTCTGATTGTTATAATTTCCTAGAATGATATATTTCCATTTGAGAAAAACATTTTAAATAATAAAATACAATTGACATGACAGTATTCTTTAAATACTGTCCTTCAAGGGCTGCCCCACAAAAGAGGAGACGGCTGCCTGTTTCCTTCTGCCCCAGAGAATAGGATCAGGTTTACTGGTTTTAAGTTACAGGAGAGTAGATTTCAACTGAATACTAAAAGGAACCAATAGTGTGGCATTTTTCTCTGGTCATCTTCAAAAAGAGGCTCGACAGCTACCTGGTGGTAATGCTCTAGCTAGAGATCTGGCATAGAACAAGAAGTTGCACTTGATAGCCCATGAAGCCACTTCCAAATCTTATGATCTATGAACAACTAATAATATCAGAATAAAACTATCTTCCTAATTATGACATTATGTATTGGAGGTGAAACTTTCCTTTGGCAGGTACATGGAGTGAATGACACCTACTATATTCTTTCCATTACTCTCTTTCATTAGCAAATCTTCCATTACAACTTTTCCAAGTAGTTAATTCACCCAGAAAAGCATTATATGCTTTATTTTGCAACATCAGCAGGAAAATGGAGTGTTATTAATAGAATATCTTTTCCTTCCTTGCCCTCGTGTAATAGAAAAAGGCTATTTAATAACATTTCTTTCTACTGAAGGAACATTACTCTGGCTGGTTCACCTCCAAAAAAAGGGATTAAAATGTATTTGGCTCCATTGTAAGCTAGTGTAAATGATGAAGGGCTCAGTAAAGTCAATGGAGCCACATTATTTTATATGGAGCAAGGATTTAATATTGTATTTTTTCATATTTTCTAAAATAAACTAAGAAGGATTCATGGCCTACAACAATTCAAATTGAAGGACTCGGGTAATAATCTAAATAACATTCTTATAATTGGGCCACTTGACTTAGATTTTTTATATTGATGCAATTCTTTGTACACAAATAAATACCATTTCTATATGTTTGTTTGATTCTTCCTCTTAACTAAATGGACTCTTCAGACAACTCCTAGTGTTGTTATTCTGACTATAGTTGCTGGGAATGGCAAATCCAACATTTAGAGGATTGGACAATTAAAGTTAGCATCAGAAAAAAATTTTAAAAAATCCAGACTCACAGGATCAAGCCAGTGGTTCAGCTGAGGAACATGTCTTCTAGGTGAAGAACTAGGATGAGAATTTTCCTTGCTGTTCAAATGCTGTTTATCCTGAAGGCCATTTTCTCTTCTGGTTGGAGTACAGGAATGGCCAGCATGCAATGGACTTTTTAAAATGTTGCTGGTTTTTTCTAGCACTTCTCTAGTTCTACCATTTTTGTAGATTGCAAATGAAGGGCAGCCACCTAAATATTAAACATACACAGTATTTTGAAGCACAAGAGAGTACATGAAATAACAAAAGTGGCTTGAGCCCAGTGGAAATGAGCTGTGGAGCAAATAGAAGATACTCCAGCCTCTGAAGTAAATCCTTTTTTGCTTCCATGCTCCTTTGAATCGAATATTTTAAGAGTGGAAAGCTGAGGTATTCTGATTCTGGAGTGCTGCTGATAATTCCTGACACCCCACAAGAGGCTTGCTGCACGGTGGTCTGTAATATTTGCAATCCAAGGTCAAATCTAAAATAAACCACAAATGAGATTAATTTTGCAATCTCAGCTTAATCTTCAGAGAACTCATTTCTGAAAGGGCCCAAAGCCAGAAGCTGCAGACAAAAGCCCAAAACAACAGTGCTGTTCTTTGTGCCAGGAGGGTGTCTCACTTTCAAATTCACCACTGCAGTGGGAGCTCAGGTTACAGTTTCGACTTCAGAAAACGCAAGGACAGAAAAAGGAAGTTGCTGAAGATGAGGACAGAATTGCTGGTTGTGCAGCAAACAAACTATCAAAGGCTCTTTGCCCTCTTTCCCCATTTTTTAAAGAAATCACCATGAGCAATATGTATAAGCTTTAAACACTGGAAGACATTTAAGGGAAGGATAGCAAGAGAAAGATGAAAAAGAGTTACAGAGTAACTCAACCACAGGGTGTCACTCTTGACCCAAATTTGGGTCAAACTATGTCATTGTGTAGGGCATTAGAAAGATGGCTTAGCATGAACATTAACAGGCACTTTGGTTATATTAGAAGAGTAGATGGTTCATTTCAACTCAAGAATTTAGATATCTACTGTACAGGGCATATTGGCTGCTACTTGTCAGCCAGCACTCCATATTTTACCGGCCACTCGTTTGCAGTTAAAGATCAAGGTAATCAACAGCTGAATATCTAAAAATATGGATCTTTTAAAATAAAAAACATGTTTTGTTCCTAAACACAACTTAACATTCAGCATCTATATTAGCAGATATACAGTCTGTTAGCCTTTCAGAACCTGTAGAGAAAAGTACATCCAGGATTCAAGGGAATAAGAAATGAAGTTGGTTTGACTCTGGAAAAAAATATCTCAGACTCTAATTTAATGTTAAGTGTAGTTCTAGTAGGAGCAGAACAAAACATGTCAAAGATTGTTTAGATCCAATTGATCCAATTGGTTCAACATAAAAGCAGGTGCAAGCAGAAACATAAAATTGCACTTCAGCTTCTGAAATTCTATATAAAGATACTGACAAGGTCAGAAACATACAAAATTTTAGAATAAAAATATCTTTTCATTTAGTTACAGTTCCTTTGCCTTCCCTTACAGAAACATATTTTTGTATGTTTTTGAAGCTATATAAAGACACTAGGCAAGGTCAGAAGCATACAAAATTTTGGAATAAAATATCTTTTCATTTCATTTCAGTTCCTTTGCTTTTCTTCACAGAGTTTCACAATAAGATTAGCCCCCAGGCAACTTGTTCGAAAAGTAGACTTCTTTGTGGGTTGTGGCAATGCATTTGGGAACCGGTTGAGTGCTGTAGGAACCACAGGATATCATGTCTTTAGGTATATCTACACTGTATAATTAATGGCGATTAACATAACTTTAACTGCCACAGATTAATGCAATGAATGTTGTTTCATAAAGCACCATCACTCTTTGGCAGAGATTATTAAAATTACAGTTCTCAGGATTTCATAGTATTTAGCCATGGCAAATATGAACTTATATTTTAATTTCAACCTTCCCGATACAAGCAACAGGGATATTATGTTTCATCAAATATTTCTATTAGGTGAAGATACTTTATGGATGAGTGGTTACCAAACATGATGGCTATATGCTGACTCTGCATTTGGAATTAGTTTGACGTGGGAAGCAGAACTTTGATAGGATCTTACAAGATTTTCCATGTGTTTATATTGATGGCACAGCGTAGCACGGAATACTAAAACAAAAACAAAAGCAAACCCTCTCACCCATCACCTTTCCATAAGTCTGAAGGTTATTATAGACTTACAGTTGCAGCTCTATGCTAATAGTGTGATAAGCAAAATTTGTTCAAAAACTATTACTGTTATATATTGTGAAATGTCTGGTGCAAAAGTACATAGTAAACCACCTCACCCACCAGTATTATGGACTTTAAGTGGAAGTGCCTCCCCATTATTTCAGGTAGATATCCTTTCCACCACATGCTATTGTTAATATTGAAGAAAATGCACTAAGATTGAACTCTGAAATTTCTTCAAATAAATAATTCACTTTGTGAGTAATACAATGTCTTCTTGCCTCCATTTACTTAATTCTGAGGTATATGGTCAATTATAAACTCATGGGGAACTTCCTTTTATTCCATATTTCCCAATGGTTATTAGGTACATTAACTTTTGTGCAGTTTGGTGCTATAGACCTCAGATTTCTGAACTGACCATAGCCACACATTGTTATATTTAATGTATTGTCGAAGACTTTCATGGCCGGAATCACTGGGTTGTTGTAGTACCTCTGAGGATGCTTGCCATAGAGGCAGGCGAAACGTCAGGAGATTATGCCTCTAGACCATGGTCATATAGCCCGAAAAAACCTACAACAACCCATTGTTATATTTGCAAGTGTCAAAACGGCTGGCTCTGTAGTGATTGGGCCACTATTTCATTTATTCTTAAGATGTCTATATAGAATATAATCCTCCTGAATTAATCAGGTCATACTTGCAATATAGTATGATCACAACTTTAGCCTTTCTTTATAAAATGGCAAAGCAGTCAATGGGAGTCATGTATGGTGAGCCCAATTCATAGTAGAACCCAATGAAATCCCGCCATACTGTTTATAGTATGTGTCTACATGATGGCAACAATCTTGGACGGCAATGGCTCCCAAAGTGACCCATTTAAGGTGGAATCGGGTGTCAAACAGGGATGTGTTATTGCCCCAACTCTATTCTCCATCTTCATTTCTACGATACTTCACCTTGTTGACAGGAAGCTTCCCACCGGAGTGGAAGTCATTTTTCGGACAGATGGCAAGCTGTTTAACCTCAGCAGACTGAAAGCCAAAACCAAGGTTACAACAATATCGGTTATAGAACTCCAGTATGCTGATGACAATGTCATTTGTGTGCATTCAGAAGAAGATATACAAGCCACTCTAAACACCTTTGCAGAAGCATACGAGAAGCTCGGTCTGTCATTGAACATCGAGAAAACCAAAGTGCTGTTCCAGCAGTCACCAGCCAACCCCTCTCCAATGCCAGAGACACAGCTTAATGGTGTAACATTAGAAAATGTTGACCATTTCCGCTACCTTGGCAGCCACCTCTACACCAAAGTCAACATCAGCGTGTTGGAAACAAACGTCAGCGTGTTGGAAGAAGCAAAGACCACCAGCATTGAAGCAATGGTCCTCTGCCATCAATTCCGCTGGACCGGCCACATTGTCCAGATGCCTGACCACTGTCTCCCAAAGCAGTTGCTCTACTCTGAACTTAAGAATGGAAAACGGAACGCTTGTGGACAGGAAAAGAGATTTAAAGATGGCCTCAAAGCCAACCTTAAAATCTCTGGCATAGACACTGAGAACTGGGAAGCCCTGGCCCTTGACCACTCCAGTTGGAGGCCAGCTGTGACCAGCAGTGCTGCAGAATTCAAGGAGGCATGAGTGGAGGGTGTGAGAGAGAAAAGTGCCAGGAGGAAGGCGCGTCAAGCCAACCCCGACCGGGACCGCCTTCCACCTGGAAACCAATGCCTTCACTGTGGGAAAAGATGCGGGTCAAGAATAGGGCTCCACAGCCACCTACGAATCCACAAGGAAACCCATCATGGAAAACCATCTTACTCGTCCAACGAGGGATCGCCTAAGTAAGTAAGTAAGTAAGTAAGTAAGTAAGTATGTGTCTGGACCAAAAAAAGAATTAGGTCCAAGATCTGAAGGCAAGATCTGAAGGTATTTGGAATGGTTTGTCTTACCAGCTCTTGGGTCTAGAATTTCAATAGTTGCTTCCCTCTTGTGTCCCAGCACAGCATTTTTAGGCTTGTTCAGCATTACTTTAAACACTTCATTGTTTTCTTCAAGGCCATCATCCTGAAGGAAAATAGTCCAGATCTTGGTAGAAACACCTGCCAAAGGCATAGTATGTAGATGTGAGTCCTACTTCATATTTCAAAACATTATTCTCTGTGGTCTAACATTTAAAAATAATTGCAGGTTCTGGGAATTACTATCATCTCTGAAATAGTTCGATCAGGATAAATACATTTCCTTTCTACATGTGCACTTACTACTAGTGATAATTGTGGATGTACAGTTGTAAAACCTCAAAAGAAGTAGAATGCATCACAAAGTTTCCAACAAATAGATTTCTGAATGCCTTTGTTTATCCAATGCTGGTTTAGTAATTATACAAATATTGGTTCATCATCATTACCAATCAAAAGTTATCTGTTTCCTGATGCCATTTAATTATTTAGTAAACCTTAATTGCAACGATTATAATTTGTTATTGAAAATTAAATTAGAGGTAGAACAAATGAAAGAATGTATGATTCACTGGATACAAAATATTGGACAGAATATTGAGCTGGAGAGATGGGAGACAATGAAGTAAAAAAAAAGAGGATTTCTACAAAATGATGTACAGATGGTACCTGACGCCAGTCAATCTGACAAGGATTTTACAAAGACACTAAAAAATGTATTTTGGAAATGCAAAATACATCAAGGTACTTTTTATCATAAGTGCTGGACATGTGACAAAACAAAAGAAAATTGGAGATTCATACAAAATTTATTACAAAAGATATTTTAAAATTAAAATCGGAATACCATTTGATCCAACTTTATTTCCACTGGGACCTCCAAATGAACAAACAAATCCCACAAATTTCAATTTATTACATTATATTAATATTGCAGCAACACTACTTTATGCACACAAATGGTCCTCAACGGCGGAGCAGGCGGAGGATAACATGGCACATGTTACAACGGCTGCGAAGGCGGAAGAAGGCTGCAACAGACTGAGAATTATTTATTATTTATTTATTACTTGCACTTGTTAACCGCCACTCTCAGCCCGGAGGCGACTCGTGGCGGTGTACAAAACATAGAAAAGACAACAATTTACAGTGGAACAAGACCATCACACAACATATAAAAATCCGCTTCGTCTAGATTAGGGTCATAGTCAGTCTCATCGTCATAGTCCATTCCGGTGATCATTCCAAGGAAAACATATAGCACTAGCTGAAGGCCTTTTCGAAGAGCCAGGTCTTCAGGCCCTTACGGAAGGCCATGAGGGAAGGTGCCTGTCTGATTTCAGCAGGGAGGGAGTTCCATAGCCGGGGGGCCACCACCGAGAAGGCTCGCTCTCTCGTCCCCGCCAGGCGTGCCTGTGAGGCAGGCGGGACCGAGAGAAGGGCCTCCCCAGATGATCTCAAGGTCCTCGTGGGCTCATAGGCCGAGATGCGGTCCGAAAGGTATTTTGGGCCGGAACCGTTTAGGGCTTTGTAGGATAGCACCAGCACCTTAAATTGGGCCCGGTAGCAAATCGGCAGCCAGTGGAGCTGGAACAGCAAGGGCGTTGTGTGCTCCCTGCGTCCCGCTCCAGTAACATGGCTGCCGCGCGCTGGACTAGCTGAAGCTTCCGGGCCGTCTTCAAGGGTAGCCCCACGTAGAGAGCGTTGCAGTAGTCAAGACGGGATGTGACCAAAGCGTGTACCACCGTGGCCAAGTCAGACTTCCCAAGGTACGGGCGCAACTGGCGCACGAGCCTGAGCTGTGCAAATGCTCCCCTGGTCACCGCTGAAACCTGGGGATCCAGGCTCAACGATGTGTCCAGGGTCACACCCAAGCTGCGAACCTGCGTCTTCAGGGGGAGTGCGGCCCCATCCAACACAGGCTGTAACCCTATGCCCTGTTCGGCCTTGCGACTGACCAGGAGTACCTCTGTCTTGTCTGGATTCAATTTCAATTTGTTCGCCCTCATCCAGACCGTCACAGCGGCCAAGCACCGGTTCAGGACCTGGACAGCCTCCTTAGTAGCAGGTGGAAAGGAGTGACAGAGTTGGATCATCTGCGTACAGATGACATCGCACCCCAAAACTCCGGATGATCTCTCCCAGCAGCTTCATGTATATGTTAAACAACATGGGGGACAGTATTGAACCCTGAGGAACCCCACAATACAAAGGTTGTGGTGTTGAACAGGAGTCCCCCGATAACACCTTCTGGGTACGTCCCTCCAGAAATGATTGGAGCCACCGCAAAGCGGTGCCCCCAAGACCCATCTCTGCAAGGCGTCCCAGAAGAATACCGTGGTCGACGGTATCGAAGGCCGCTGAGAGGTCCAGGAGCACCAACAAGGACACACTCCCCCTGTCTAGCTCCCGGCGGAGATCATCCACTAAGGCGACCAAGACCGTCTCAGTACCATGTCCCGGTCTGAAACCAGACTGCGCCGGATCCAGATAATCCGTGTCTCTCAAGAATACCTGGAGTTGTGAGGCCACCACGCTTTCCATGACTTTGCCCAAAAGGGGAGATTGGAAACAGGCCGAAAGTTGTCCAATTTAGTGGGGTCCAGTGATGGCTTCTTCAACAGCGGCTTTATAATAGCCTGTTTTAGGCTCGCTGGAATCGTGCCTTCCCGAAGGGAGGCATTAACCACCACCGTTACCCACTCAGCCAATCCCCCTCTGGCCTCTTTCAGAAGCCAGGATGGGCAGGGGTCTAGGATGGACGTGGTAGGCCTCATTCCTCCAAGTATCTTGTCCACATCCTCGGGCTTCACAAGCTGAAAAGAATCCATCAAAATAGGACAAGCAGGTGCTTGTGTCACATCCACAGAGACTGCATTTAAAGTGGCGTCCAGCCCAGAACGGATCAAAGCGACTTTGTCTGCAAAAAACCGAGCAAATGCTTCACAGCGCGTGGACGAGTTGTCAGGGCTCCCACCTGATGTAGGGGGAGTTAATAGGCCTCTGACAATCCGAAACAACTCCGCTGGACGGTTTTTTGCGGACGCAATAGTGGCCGCAAAGAAAGATTTCTTTGCGGCTTTTATTGCCGCGGCATATGCCCTTAGAAAGGACACAAACCGTGCTCGATTTGGCTCGCTTGGGTCCGAGCGCCACACGCTCTCCAGTTCCCTCTTCCTTCGCTTCATCGCTGCCAGCTCCTCAGTAAACCAAGGAGCTGGTTTAGCTCGGTTACTTGAGAGGGGACGTTCCGGAGCGATCCTGTCAATTGCCCTGGTCATCTCCCCATTCCAGAGAGCGACCAAGGCCTCGACATGGTCACCTACCGAGGTGGCGGGGAAATCCCCAAGAGCCATCAGGAATCCATTCGGATCCATAAGCCTCCTGGGGCGGACCATCTTAATGGGTCCTCCACCTTTGCGGAGGTTGGGGGGCGCAGTGAGCCTAAATCTGATCAGGAAGTGGTCGGTCCATGGCAACGGAGAGATAGACAACTCCTCCACACCGCCACCCTGCTCCCATCCCTGACAGAAAACCAAGTCCAATGTGTGTCCAGCACAGTGGGTGGGGCCAGTTATTTGTTGGGACAGCCCCATGGTTGCCATGGCAGACATGAAGTCCTGAGCTGCTCCTGTGAGGGCTGCCTCGGCATGGATGTTGAAGTCCCCCAGCACAAGAAGCCGTTGGGACTCCATCACCAGGCTCGAGACCACCCCCGCTAGCTCAGGCAGGGAGACTGTAGTGCAGCGAGGTGGACGGTACACTACAAGAATCCCTGTTCTGTCCCGGTCACCCACCCTCAGGTGGACGCATTCGAAGTTTGTGGTCTGCGGGATGGGACTCCTGGTCAGATGGATGGAATCTCTATAGACCACTGCGACCCCGCCTCCCCGTCCTCCGGCTCTTGGTTGGTGTTGCACGGAGAAGCCAGGAGGACAAAGCTGGGAGAGGTTTACGCCCCCCGCTTCATCCAGCCAGGTCTCCGTGATGCACGCCAGATCTGCCCGCTCCTCCAGGATTAAATCCTGAATCCAGGTCGTTTTTCCGTTGACAGATCTGGCGTTCAACAACACCACCTTCAAACCAGAGGGCCCGCTCACCTGGTTACACCAATTTACCTTAGGAGACCGGTTGGGAATTGTTAATATGGATAAGCGGTCCGAATTAGGCCGAATTCGAGGTCTCCTTTTCCCGCATCTCCTCCTTCCCACCACGACCTCTATGGGGGCCCCTCGGCTAATGGAACACCTCCCCCCCTCCATGCCGCAGTCTAGAGATAAGGTCTTACTATCTGCTTTGTTCGTTATTTGATTTCCCAAACTTTGCCAGTAGCCTTTTTCCTCCTCTTCCCCCCTCCTCCCCTCATTTTTATTTACATACTCCAGCCCACCTCCTCCTCTGTCCTTCACACTATACAGTAGTAATAGAGATAGTATACAAAGAGGGATGGGGGACCACATGGATAACAGCAATACAAGATGGTATCAGCTCTTCCGGCCACACCAATAAAACAGATTCAAAAAGTGCACAAGTCTTAGGTGCTAAGGTCTAAAGTGCTAGGTCTAAAGTGCAATGAGTTCCATGCATTGGTTCGACGGTAGCTAAAGTAGTTAAAGTGCGGCACAGAGGGGCAGGGAAGGGGCGAAAGTGCTAGTGCAAAATTGGCAGCAGAGGCAGGCGCCTTAAGTGTTCTCTTACATAAAGTGCTCTAGTTCGTATTTATATCATATTATCAACAGATAATAGCCCAGGAATGAACAAGCTGAAAATATATAATCACCCTCTTATGGGCTGAGATGATGATAAATTAGTTAAATGCTATTGTGACCCAGATGGAATTCTAGACGGTTGGAATGACGCGGATGGGGCTTCCGGAGATGGTAACTCAGTAGTAGGGCAGCACAGTTGGTCGGTTATCCTATTACACACTCTGTAGGCACAGCGAGGGCTGGCACAAGGTCTACACAGAGGACTATACAAGGCCGGCACAAAGGACTACACAGAGGTCTACACAGCGGTCTGTACAGAGGTCTACCCAGAGAGGCTAACACAATATAAGGTCTACACAAAAGAAGGCCGACACAATATGAGGTCTACACAGAGAGGCCAGCACAAAAAGTCCATCCAGGGGTCTGAACAGA